TCTCTCTCTCTCGTCTCTAAGTCAGGTCCACTGCAGCCTGTGTGATTCTTTGAGTGGCAGGATCCATCTTCCCCTCCCCAGCAGTTGTAGAAACTTGTTTTTCCCACCCAAGCAGAGAAGGGGCTGAGCTGAGCCCTCGTTGTCCGCTTGGAGTAATCAATTACTCTTCGTTCGTGTAGCCATGTGAGGCTAATAAGCCGCCACCATACGGGCGGCTCCGGGAGGCTGGCCGTGCAAGCAGACCCAGGCGCGGGCACATGCGTGAGGCTGCAGTGGATGAGGAGGGTGTTTTTCTGATTTTGTGATGCTTGTTTAGAAAGTTTCCGACCTGGAAATCCAGCTCCTGGACTCCTCGCTGCGGCCGGCTCACCTTGGGCCTCACCTGTCCCTCTCAGGCCTCAGTTGGCTTCTCTCTGCAATGGGCGGATGCCAGCCTTGAGGCCACTTTGAGCATGAGTGGTCTGGAGGCTCTCAGCTCTGGCGCCGTCTTCCCTCCCCCGCCCCGCCCCGTGCTGCCTGGCGCGCTCGGGCTCTTATAAGTGTGTTCTCTGTGTGGCCCTGCGGGAGGAGCAGGGAAGGGGGAGGTGGGGGAGGCCGCAAGGTCCCAGGAGGAGCACGCTGGAGCCGGGCTTCCCTCCCCGAGGCTGGGGAGGGCATGGTGGGTCCAGGACTGCCCTGTCTCTGAGACTGCAGAGCTGCGACCTGGCCTGCCTGGGCCCCGTCACTGCCCTCCCTGTCTCTCCCCTGCCAGGCTTTCTGGACTGGGTCCCCAAGAAGATGCAGCGGGTGGGCTGCGTGGAGCTGCTCAACACGGTGCAGAGGCGTGTCCAGCCGCGGCTGCATGTCTTCGGCCACATCCACGAAGGTCAGCGAGGGCGGGGGCCGCACACGTGGTTGTTGTTATTGTTCAGTTGCTCAGTCGTGTCCGACTCTTTGCGACCCCTCGGACTGCAGCACACCAGGCCTCCCTGTCCTTCACTTCGCTCCCGGAGTTTGCTCAAAGTCACGTCTGTCGAGTCGGTGATGCCATCCAACCATCTCATCATCCGTCATCCCCTTCTCCTCCTGCCCTCAATCTTTCCCAGCATCAGGATCTTTTCTAATGAATTGGCTCTTCCCATCACGTGTCCAAAGTAGTGGCACTTCAGCTTCAGCATCAGTCGTTTCAATGAGTATTCAGGGTTGATTTCCTTTAGGATGGACTGGTTTGATCACACGCTGGTGGGGGAGGGGCACCTCACTGGCTTATCAGAGGGACCCTCTTGGCTCCCTTGAACTTGGTCACCTCCTCCCTGGCCAGCGGGAAATAGCCCATCTTCTATATATACTTTGTATCTACATACACCTATCTACACGCTAGCTGTCAGTTACCCATTGCTGAAGTGTTTCATCATAGGAAGATGAGGGCAAAGTCTGGCAAGACTCAGGGGTAAGTTTTACTTCCTAGAGCCCTGCAACTCTGCCATGCCTCTACCCTGGGAAATCTTCAGAGATGGCGGGGGGCTTTCTGGAGGAGGGGACATTTGGATATGACCTAGAGAAGGATTGCCTTTGGGGGTACACTGTGAGCTGAGTACAGGGCTGGAAGCCTGTCTTCCTGTTCACATCTCTATGTCCTGGCATACAGCAGGTGCTTAATGAATGTGGAGGGCTGCCTGCCTACCTGAGGGCTCCAGTGGCACCTCCCCTCACAGTGTCCCCACCCAAGACAGACATGAGGTTCCGCCTTCTGTCCTGGGGGCAGGACCACTTGCTGTGTCCCCATGGCCGGAGTTGGAGGGGGGTGTCCATATAATCTCGGGCAGTGGGCAGGGTGGCTGTGAAGGTGACTGGTGATGTCAGCGGCAGTCCTGACTGCGACGCTGTCCCTGCCCTGGCCTGTCACTGCCCAGGGTTCACCTCATTAGACCTCAGCCTTCCTCGCTGCAGCCTGATTGTACCAGTTGGACAGCTCCCTCCTTTGGCTCCTTTTGAACTTTATCCCACCTGTCCAAGGCCTCGTGGTCCGACCGTACCCTGCCATGAAGCACATGGGCTCCCATGGGGCAGGGGGACCACTGTGTTTTCCCTCAGGATTGTCCCCTGGCCTCTTGAACCTCTGTCTGCGTTGGGCTGGGGCTCCTGGGCCTCATGTTTGTCTGGTTCACATCAGGTCACTTTCCAGCTCAGAAACCAGCAAGACTCAGACCCTTCCTTCTGCGTCATGCTGTCAGGGGTGGGAGTGATCAGACCTCCAAGACCCCGAGGAGCTCACAGACTTCTGGGCAGCAGATGAACCATCAAAGGCGGGACCTGAAAGGTCATGGGAGAGGTGGATGGTGCATGTGCTGCAGGATAATAATAACGCCTGTCGTTTTCTGTAGCCCTATTGTGGGCATGTAACACCATCATCTGATCCAGACCACCACCCCCCCTGCATGATTGTACAAGCAAAATGCAGGCTCCAAAGACTCGTAACCTGCGCAGAGGAGGGGAAGTGTCCCTTTTGGTTTGGATGTGATCTGAGCTGAAGGTTGAAGAGGATTCTGTAGATGTGGTGGGAAGACGGTATGATGAGGACAGAGATGAGAAGAAAAGTACATGACGGTGGTGGTGATGGTGACAATGATGGTGACCAGGTGGCAGTGGTGAGGATGGTGATGTTGATGATAGTGATGATGATGGTGGTGGTGGTTGTGATACTGAGGTGACAATGATATTGGTGATGATGGAAGTGGAGATGATGATGGGGGTGGTGATGGGGATCATGATGCTGGTGGTTGTGATACTGATAGTGATGATGATAGTAGTGATAATAGAAGTGGAGATGATGATGGTGGTGGTGATGGAGATGATGATGATGGTTCTGATAATGACAGTGATGGTCATGGAGATGATGACGGTGGTGGTTGTGATACTGATAGTGATGATGATAGTAGTGATAATAGAAGTGGAGATGATGATGATGGTGATGGTGATGGTGATGATGTCAATGATGATGGCTCAACATGCACTTTCCAGGCACCCGGGCTGAACACATGGATTATTATCTCATTTGCTGCTCACAGCAGGTTGGGAGGAGTGTCTAGCCTTGCTAGTTTCCATAGCTTGCCCCAGACAATTTTAGCCCCCTGTGGCTAAGTGCCCTCTGACACCCACACCCACCAGACCACCCTCAACTGCTCCTCTCAGCCCTGACCACTGTATGCTTACTGTCTAGGGTATGGAGTCATGGCAGATGGGACGACTACCTATGTGAATGCCTCTGTGTGCACCGTGAACTACCAGCCCGTGAATCCACCCATAGTCATCGACCTCCCCACCCCCCGGAACTCTTGACTGCCCCTGCCGCCCCAGCCCTTCCCACGGCATCAGCTCCATACACCTGGCCGAGAGCACGGACCCCCAGCCGCGCTTCCTTCCCTGCACACAGCCTGTCCAGCTCTGGGGACCAGCCCCAGCGACGGGCTGAGGCTTCGGAATGAAGAAAATCACCCCTGACTCTGTCCCTGGAGTCGGGACCCCGTGGAGCTGTTGGGGGATCTGCACTCATCGCTGAGTTCTGCCTGTCCCTTCCGTGTGTTCCTTGTTAAAGGACCTACTGTGCTCGCGGCTGCGTCCTGCTTGGGAAGTGACAGTCTTCATCTTCTCAGTTGGACGCCCTCGTGGGTTTGGGAAGCTGCTGCTCTTGGACGGATTCTGAAGTTCTGGCACAAAATCTCCCTCTCGCTGAGGGTCTGAGTGGCTGCACGCCTCAGGGTTGGGGAGGGTGGGCGGGGGTTGTCGCAGCCTGAGTGCAGGCCGCCCTTCCACTTCTTCCAGGCCTCCGAGGGAGCAATCAGGGACGTCTCAGGAATCGGGTTGCACCTGGCCAGGCCACCCAGCCTTCGGCTTCATGCCGTCCCCTGTTTTCTTCCTGTGGGCATTTTTGCTGATGTGAGTGATGGCCTGAGCACCCTGGACACCCGCTCGGAGCCTGGACTTGGTGGGGTGGAGGGGGGTTGGTTCTGTAGAATGAGTTTGTTGAGGACCCAGGACTGGGCTGGAGGGTCCCCACGTGCCGGACGCCCCTGGTCCCCTGGGGTCTGCCAAGCTGCAGAACCCAGCAGCCAGGGGGGTCCATGGGCCAAGGCAGCCCTGCCCCCTATGTGCGCCCGTGGGGACGTGGACACACACTCACACACACACGCGCCCCTCAACCCAGTGAAGTGAACTCCGTGGTTCGCACTGCTGTCCTCAAATGTGTTCTGGCCCCCGGTGGGGTTACCCTCGCCCCTCGGTTCTGTCTCCCCTGCCCTTGGCTGAGAAGGCTGATTGGTTCACAGTTGTGGTACTGGGTACCAGTTGCCCCCTAACGGGAGCACGGCCCAGAGTCAGAGCCGGGACTGGACTCCCGCAGTTTCACCAGGGGGACTTCAAGGACTTTGGCGTTGGGCTGAGACTCTCTGATGGACAGAGAACAAACCAGGCCTGCTTGGGGTGAGGCCAGCGACGCAGAATTGGCACGGGCAGCATTAGATTCTTTATTTAAAATATAGGCATTTTGTTTATCATAGATTTTTCCCCCTGCTTTAATTTTGGTTTTTAAAAATACAGAATTAAAATAGTGTCATTGATCTCGATCACCGAATTTTTTGGCGCCCCCTTCAATTGTGTGTCCAAGAGGAGGGCTCTGCCTGCCTCCTCTTCATCCCAGGCCTGGGAACCAGCATTTAACGAGCCCTTTGCAGATGTGATCTCATTTCCAGCACTCCTGGAAGGTGGGTACTACTGGCCCTGTTTTAGAGATGAAGCGATTGAGGTCAGAGAGGTTAGGTAACTAGCCTGAGGGTGCACAGCTCAAACGAGGCAGAGGCAGGATTTGAACCTTGGTCTCTGGCTTCACAGCCCCCTGCTCTGCCAGCACCCAAAGCTCTGCCCCTACAAGATGATGCAGGACGCAAGGCTCTTTTTCTTTAAGGATCCTGCTCGGCACCTGTCCGGTTCGTTTTTCATGGAAAGCCCCTGGAGCCCTGGAGGACTCAGATCTCTGAGCCCAGGATCCCAGGGGGCCGTGATTGCGTCCCTGCATGAGTTGGGCTCCCGTGGGGCGAGGGTCCCATCTGGGAGCCCAGAAGCAGCAGCACGCTGGCCGGGGCCAGCTTTACTCTGCGGCGCGCGGGGCTTCGGGAGTCCCATTCAACCCACGTGGTTCCTGGGAGCCGGGGATGTTTACAGGGTCTCTGGGGGCACCTCAGACGCACAGCGTGTGTGTGCTTAAATGGGTGGCGACGACTCCAGACTCTTTCGATCGCCTCTCCTGAATTTCTATGAGGACCAAGAACTATAAACTTAAAAAAAAAATCTTTTTCCTAAGGTATCTTCAGAATATGGTGTATTTTTATGTGGAAAATAAAAGTTATGAAGGCAGCTGTTACTTTAAAAGAAAAATTCATTAAAAGTCCTTGAGGTATGAAAGATGATGGCGTGTTCCTCAATCATTTCGGCATAACTTGATTGTGGCTGTAATTTTTTTTTGTCAAGCATGTCAGACAATAAAGTCTTTGTAAAAAGAAAGAGAAGTCCACCTGGCATCTCTTCCTCTGTCTCTGGGTGTTGTGTGGGGCCTGTGGGGGAGGAGAGGCGTCCTCCCGGCCGAGTCCTGGGCTGAGTTCAGAGGCTGAAGACCTTCTGTGTGCCAGTGACTGGCATCCTTCTGCTGGCTTCGGCTTCCCTCAGAGGTGGTTGGCACGTGCACTTCTGTGCCCTATCATGTTCACATAGCTCGAACACCTGGTCCCCCCCCAGACAGTACCTCAAGGTGGCCTTAGCTTTGGCCTCTTCCAGGAAGCGGCAAGTTCTAATCCAGCCCTCGTCAAACTCAGGGTCCAGGTGTTGCCCAAGAGAAGCTCAGGCAGATATAATGGCTACTGTTCCAAAGCTCCCTGTGCTGTAGAAGTTCTGCCATTTTCATCTGCCCATCCATCCATCCATCTCACCACCATCCACTTATCCATCCATCCATCCATCCAACTACCATCTATCTATTCATCCATACATCCAACAACCACCTATCCATCCATCCATCCATCTAATCACTATCCATTTATCCATCCATCCATCCAGTCACCATCTATCTATCTATCCATCCATCCAACCACCATCTATCCATTCATCCATTTATCCATCCATCCATCCATCAACCATCGACCCATCCATTTATCCAACCACCATCCATCTATCCTTCCATCCATCCAGTCACCATGTATCCATTCATCATCCATTTATCCATCCATTCATCCAACCACCATGTATCCATTCATCATCCATTTATCCATCCATTCATCCAACAACCATCCATCTATCCAACCACCATCCATCTATCCTTCCATCCATCCATCTAACCACCATCCATTTATCCATCCATCCATCCAGTCACCATCTATCTATCCATCCATTCATCCAACCACCATGTATCCATTCATCATCCATTTATCCATCCATTCATCCAACAACTATCCATTTATCCAACCATCATCCATCTATCCTTCCATCCATCCGTCTAACCACCATCCATTTATCCATCTGTCCATCCAGCCACCATCTATCTATCCATCCATTCATCCAACAACCATCCATCTATCCAACCATCATCCATCTATCCTTCCATCCATCCATCTAACCACCATCCATTTATCCATCTGTCCATCCAGCCACCATCTATCTATCCATCCATTCATCCAACAACCATCCATCTATCCATCCATCCATCCAACCACCATCCGTCTATTCTTCCATCCAACCACCATCCATCTGTCCATCCATCCAGTCCAACTACTGTCCATCCATTTACTCACCCACCCATCAGTCCATCCACCCCACAAACATTCACTCAGCACCTCTCTTGGACCTGACTTGCAGTAGGGACATGGCAGCAGTGGATTTAAGAGATAGGGTTGATGAAGGATGGGTGTGGGGAGCCAGAGATGATATAATGGGTGTTGGCTGCCTGTCATGGAGGGGTAACACGGGGTAGGAAGAACAGGTTTGAGGAGCGGATGCTGAATTCTGTTTGGGACTCAGGGGCCGGAGGTGCCTTTGGGAGATGTGGGGGAGGTGTCCTGTGGCTGGGGGTGGAGTGTGATAAATGGACCCAGAGAGGAGGAGCCTCTCTGGAGACCTTCATTTGTGGGTCAGAACCGAAGCTGTGGGGTTGGGGAGCAGGCTGGGGGTAGCCCGGATGGCATCAGCCCACTGTGACACTCTCCTGTCCTCAGACTGGCCCACCTGTAACCTGCCCTTCCAGAGGGCTCCCTCCACCACAGCCTCAGACGTGGCTACAATGCCGGGTCCTGGGCCTTGGGTCCCCACCTGTAGGTTGCAGGGAGGAGCTGCTCCATTCGAGGCACTCCTGTGGCTGTGCTCACTGTATCCCAGAGCAGGGCTTCCGGGCAGGGGCAGGGCCCGCTGGGGCTGCCGTCCGCCCTGGTTGCTCTGTCTCACTGCAGCTGCTGCGTTAGTGCCTGCTACCCGCTCTGCTGGGGAAGCTTCCAGGTGGCGCAGTGGTAAAAAAAAAAAAAATCCGCCTGCAAATGCAGGAGATGGAAGAGATGCCGACTTGATCCCTGGGTTGGGACGATTCCCTAGGGGAGGAACGGGCAACCCACTCCAGTACTCTTGCCTGGAAAATCCCATGGACGGAGGAGCCTGGCGGGCTACAGTCCGTGGGGTCGCAGAGAGTTGGACACGACTGAGCACACGCACCCGCTCTGCTGAGACGTGGCAACTGCTGCGTTCTGAGCCCGGTGCTCCTGCTGCCTTCAGTGTAGACGAGGGGCGTGGGGGTGGGGAGAGGGGCTGACGCCATCACGAGCTGCCCCCCCATGCTCTGTGAAGCAGGTTTACTCAGCGCTGGAGCGGGGTCCACAGCAAAGAGAGCTTAGCACGCTGGGCTCACTCGCACTGCCAGCCGCCTCCAACACAGGATGGGGTCCCCGCTGATGCTCCTACTGTCCCTGGGAGTCCAGGGGGGCAAGCCCAGTGAGCTGCGACCCTTCCCTCTGCCTCTGTCCTTATGGGAGCTCACACTCAGGAAGCCCAGCCCCCAGCCGACTTTTCTTGCAATTTGGCTTCCATGGAGCTGATTCTTGAACATGCTGTCTGAGCCACAAGGGAAACCCCTTCAGCCTCCACCGGGAGCAAATTCTCAGGCCTTTTTCTTCCAGGAGACTCCTGCCCCAGCCCCCTGGATAAACTAGTAGAGATGACAAGCTCTGCAGAGCCGGGTTTAACCCAAGACTCTCTCCTAACGTCACCCACAGCTCCCAACTGGGAGTCTTGTTGCAGAAGATCCTGGACACGCCAAAGGGTCCTCAGTCCCACCCTCCCTTGAAGGACCAGACTGCAAAGCCCTCCAGGATATGGAAAACAGGCCCTGCTGTCTGGATGCTTGAGGGGTACTTTGGAAGGCTCCTCTGATCCGGGAAGAAGCTTAACCCTTCAGCCGTCACACGCTTGGGGCCCAGTGAATGGCAGACAGGGTCAGGCTTGGGGGCCCAGAGGAAGATCAAATCCAGTGTGTAGGGGAGATCCTTCTTCCTCTTGGAAGAAGGAACCTGGCTAGGCCCTGAACAGGAAATGATTTCCCCACTTTAAAAAGCTTTTTCATTTTGAAATAATTTTAGATTTACCGAAGAGTTGTAAAAATGGTACAGAGAGTCCCCACAGCTTGCCCTGATGTTAACATCTTACATAACCAGGGTCCATTTATCAAAACTAAGAGATTAGCATGGTGTAAGGCTATTAGACCTTTCTTTGGGTCTTTCTGAATAACGTCCCATCCATGAGTCTTCGTGGTATTTAGTCATTATGTCTCTGTAGCCCTCTGTGGGTTGGTGACAGTTTCTCAGCCTTTCCTCAATTTTCATGACCTTGAAAGTTTTGAGGACTGTCTGTGTATTTTGTAGACTGTCCCTCCAGTTGAGTTTGTCTGATGATTTCTCAGGATTTGCCTGGAATTATGTGTTAGGAGAAGAGTGCAGAGGTGATGCGTTCTTCTCAAGGCCTTATATCTGGGCTTACGTGAGACCAAAGTGACTTACCACATGCTTATTAATCTTTTTAAGTATTTGTTTATTGATTTTTCACTGCCCTGGGTCTTCCTTTCTGTGCATGGACTTTCTCTAGCTGTGGCGAGCAGGCTTCTCATTGTGGTGACTTCTTTTGTTATGGAGCAGGGTCTCTAGACTCAGGCTCAGTAGTTGTGGTCCACGGACATAGTTGCTCTGGGGCATGTGGAATCTTCCCGGATCAGGGATCGAACCCATGTCCCCTGCACTGGCTGGCAGATTCTTACCTGCTTCGCCTCCAGGGATGTTCACGAGGTTGTTAATCTTGATCACAAGGTTACAGGATATCTGCTGGGTTTCTCCACTGCAAAGATGCTAGTTTTCCTTTTCCATACTCGGTCTGTTAGAAACAGTCATTAGACCAGCTCACTCTCAAGGAGAGGGGAATGAGGCATCCAAGAACGGGGACATAGGGTATAATCACCACACTGACTTACACCTATTTGGAGGAGCCATCTCCAGGCTATGCGACCCGCCTAATGTTTTTCCCACTAATGCTAGCATCCATCCATGGGTCTTGCCTGGAGCAGTGGTTACTGCGGTATTCTCGTGGTGATTTTCTGTTTCTTCTTCCCTCCTACATGTATTATTTGAAATTCTTCTGTAAGGAAGATTTGCCCCTTCTCTGCCATTTACTTATTTGTATCAGCAAGGATAATTTTCAGGTTAGAACCTAATGCTGTCATTTATTTTGTTGCTCAAACTGTTCTAACTTTGACCATTTGGGAGTTCTTTCAAATTGGTTCCTGTGTTCTTTTGACATATTCCTTTTGTTTGTCTGTTTCACTTCCTTGCTTTGGAGCAGGCTCATCTTGTATTTCCCTTGCCCCAGGGCATTCGCTGTTTCTCCTTCAAGTTCTGGCTCTTTTTATTTAGAAATTCAGATCTGGAGTGTAGATGGACTAGTTGTTATTGGGGTATGACTATTTCTAGACCCTCTTAGTGGACAGAGCTAGGAAATATTTTTAGAATAGTAATCCATGTAAGGGGCTTCCCTGATATCTCAGACAGTAAAGAGCCTGCCTGCAATGCAGGAGATGTGGGTTCAACCCCTGGAGGAGGAAATGACAACCCACACCAGTATTCTTGCCTGGAGAATCCCTTGGACGGAGGAGCCTGGCCAGCTACAGTCCATGGGGTTACAAAAGAGTCAGACACAACTTAGCAACTGATCACCACCACCACCAACAGTAAAGTTCACTTTTTGTAATGTACAGTTCTGGGGGCTTTAACAAATGCTTCGAGTTATATATCCATGACCCTGGTACTATAGGAAGCAGCCCCATCACCTAAAAGATTCTTTTATTTGGCCCTTTTTTAATCAAACTGTTTTCCAAAAGGACTTCCCTGGTGGCTCAGCTGGTAAAGAATCCACCTGCGATGAGGGAGACCTGGGTTCGATCCCTGGGTTGGGAAGATCCCCTGGAGAAGGGAATGCTTTTGTAATCTCACCAGCAATAGTGAATATTTCTTGTTAGTCCACATCCTCAAAAGAATTTGGTATTTAAAAATTTTAACTGTTTGAGTAGGTGTGTTACATTTCATTGTGATTTGGACTTCCATTTTTAAATGACTGATGATGCTGAACATTTTTTCCTATGTTTATTTGCCATATTTCTTTTGTGAAATGTATGCTCAGATCTTTCGTGCCCTTCTTAAAAACTAGATTGTCTGTCTTCTTGTGTCTGAATTTTGAAGTTCTTCAGGCACTGGACACAGGTCCTTAAATGAAGACACGATTTGCACATCTTCGGGTCTGTAGGTTGTCTTTTTGTTCTTTTAACAGTTTCTCAGAGCAAAAGTTTTTTATTTTCATTAAGTCCAATTTATCAATTTTTCCTATTATAGATTGTGCTTTTGGTGTAGCCCATTGATAAACCCCAGGTCATGCAGATTCTCTGATGTTTTCTGATAGAAATTTTATAGTTCAATGTTTTATATTTGGGTCTACAATACATTTTGAGTTGATTTCTGTGTCAGGTGTGAGATACGTGACAGAGTTCATATTTTTTCAAATGAACGCTATTTTCCCATTTAATTTCCTTTGCACATTTGTCAAAAGTCAGTTAATTACATTTGCGTGCATTTATTTCTGGACACTCTATTCTGTTCCATTGATCTACAGTGCTGTGATCTTGCCAAAATCATATTTTCTTGATTACTATGATTTTATGGCTAAATCTTCAAGTTGGGTGGTATGAATGCTTTTGCTCTTTTTCACAGAGAGCAGAAGAACTCTTGGCTTGTTTTGGCTACTCTAGTTCCTTTTTTATTTAAAAAAAAAATAAGAAAGGGATTCCTTTACTTTTCATATATACATATGTATACATGGAGAAGGTAATGGCAACCTGCTGTATTTTTGCCTGGAAAATCCCATGGACAGAGGAGACTAGCGGGCTACAGTCCATACAGTTGCAAAGAGCTGAACACGATTGAACACCAAGCATACATACATACATATATATAAGAATCTTTACAAAATTGTGTTTTAATTTATAATCTGTTAAAAAAATTTTTTTAATTAAAAATAAATTTATTTGGCCGCACTAGGTCTTAGGTGCAGCATGCCGGACCAGTTCCTGAGCCAGGGATGGAGCCCAGGCCCCATCTGGTCCCCTGGCTGCGGTTCGCTAACCTGATACAACAGGACAGTAGTGGGTACTGAGCACGTGTGCTGAGTCGCTCAGTCGTGTCTGACTCTGTGACCCCGTGGCCTGCAGCCCTCGAGGCTCCTCTGTCCGTGGATTCTCCAGGCAAGAACACTAGAGTAGGTTGCCATGCCCTCCTCCAGGGGGTCTTCCTGACCCAGGGATCGAACCCGTGCCTTGTACATCTCCTGCTTTGGCAGGTGGGTTGTTTACCACTAGCGCCACCTGAGATGCCCAGGAGACACCGAGTCAGGCATCTTTACGCTTGGAGAGGAATTGGCCTTTCTTCTGTGAGGACTGGCGTGTGGGGCTTGCGTCAATCTCAGCAGAGCTTGGTCTGCACTGTTGTCTGCTCCCTCCTTGCACTTGGGCTTCCTCTGCGGGGCCCCCTGGAGGGACGGGCTCCTGTGGCTCCTAGCTGCTTACCCTGTCGGTGTGGTGGCCGGGGAGGGGATGGTTCTGATTCAGACTCTGGGAGCACGGGAAGCCTTTCTCCGTGGCCCTGCCCTCCTGCACGGGCTTGGCCCCCACCCACCCCAGGAGGCGTGCCCGCTCTGCCCCTGTCCTGCCCTGGGCTCCTACAGGCGCCCCGGGCGGTCTTGGTGTCCTCTTCTCTGCATGGTGCGCTTTCCTGCTCCCTTCGAGGGACAGGGAGGTGGGTTCTGGCGGAGTTGCAGCTGGATCCTCCTCTAGCCCCACTATGAGGGGTGCAGGAAGGTGGCAGCTTTCTCTGGATCCCCCTGATGTCCGTGAGCTCCCGCGCATTTCCTGGAGGATGCCAGGTCCTTGGTGTCAGAGTCTCCTGCGTCTCCATGCCCTCAGGCTAGCCTGCATTTGGTTTTGGGCAATTTGTTGAAATGTTCCGGCTGAATCCTCTTGCTGGCTCACATGGTGTTTCGTGTCTGTCCTGCAAAAGCAAGCACTTGGGTCTGCTATCTCCCCGGAGGCAACTGTCTGTCTCCAGACCATAGCGGACTGTATGTTGAACCGCATTCTCGGGTGGGTTTACGGAAAGTTGTTCATCTCGTTTTGTCAGGCTTTTCTCTTGTACGGGTGGGAGTGATGCCCTCTCCAGCATCTCACAGCCCCAGATCACAGGGGCTTCTCAA